TCTCTCTCTCTCTCTCTCTCTTCCCCTCGTTACTCCGCACACGAATCCGTCGCGATTACGTATGGCGAAGCGAAGGTTATCGGTTGGTGTTTCGCTGCCTTAATTGCGTGCAGCGTCAGCGGATAATTGATGAAGTAACGCGATTACCCGTATGGTCGGATAATTCTGTGGATTGTTAGGAAACCGACCATCGTGCAACGTTGATAATCGATCGCGCGTACAATCTGTACTACGTTCTATCGCGCGTGGCAGCGACAGAATAACGAAGCTATTTGTTAAGCTATCGAAATTGTTCTCTTGTCCCTTCGTAACCACGTTTGCGCCACTCGCTCCGCTCGGTTGCCCTCTCCGACGAGTTTCCCTTCCTGCCCTTGCGGAAAGGAACGGGGGAAACTACAAAAGTAACGGTGGGGTATACCTTCTCCCAAGCCCTTTCCTTCCTTTCCTTTCTTTTTCTCTTTTTTTCTTTACTTTTCTTTTTTTCTTTTTTTTTTTTTTTTTTCGTTTTTATTGTTCCTTTTCAACACTCTCCGCTTTCTCTCGCGAATTTACCGCTGTTAGCAAACCTCGCGACAAAGAGAAAGGATTCAGGTACAAAGGGATCCTGTTCAAGACGAATTAATCCCCCTCCTTCTTCCTCCCTTACTTCACCCCCAACCGACCACCTTTTTCTTCAATGAACCGACAACTCTGTTAACCCGGCGTGTGACAATCCATCTCTAAAAACGAATTAACGTGGAGAGGATGTTTTAAAACGTGATGGAGAATAACCCTCTTTCGTTCCATTCCACAAATAACTTTTTCACAACGGAATAAAAAGAGTCGCCGCGTTTCGTGCGGAAAATTTAGCTACGATCAATTTTTCGATGCAACTGGTGGCACCACCTTTCAACAGAACTACAAAGCTACTACTGATCTATATTACCGACAGTGATCTATATTACGGTCAGTGTCATCACTGACAAGGTATATGAATACAGAGGGCGTAAAAAGCGTTGATTTGTCAAAGTCGGTATTACAGAATGTGATCACGTCTCTTTGAATAAGGTAGATTTCGTTGTTGTCCATCCAAGATAAAAACGAAAATACACAGAACGTAAGTATCTTGTCTGTGCTATGATTGTAATACACTACTTGTTACATTTAATTTTCGACTTGTAAATCATTCATTGAACTGAATTTTTCGCATCTGCTCGATCGAATAGATAATAAAGAATACAAGGCAAAAGTGCAGGCAAAGGAGCAAATGGAAATGCGAAGGAATGCAGTTCAGGAAAATTGGCATTAATTTCGAGAAAGATAATATTTCTCACCGTTTAATCGACAATCAGCTCTAAGTCCTCTTTCACAGTTTGACAATATCTTTGACAATTTCTCTGAAGTCGCGTCGTCCAAAAACGTTGGTTAATCAACTTGATACCGTTGATATAACTTTTGCAAGACCGGATCGGGAATACGCTTCTCGGCGAGATTTTTTGTCCCAGGGAGTTCGATAAGTATTTCAGTAGGAGTCGTTTCCAACAAGTTCAGGCCCGCCAATGAAGAAGAGTGATCACCAGCCAGTTTCGACAAGGGTATGTTTTTTTCGTCTAGATTTTCCGAGCCTGGCAGCAGTAAAGAGACCATTTCCACGTCTTTCGTGATACCTTCCGAGACGTAAGGAGTTCCGGGCAATCCAGACGCTTCAGGCATTCCAGGAACCGCTAAAGTTCCAACGACTCCGAGAAACAAGACAATAATCTGCAACGATTCGAAAAATACCGAATTACTTCTTCGCACCGATAACTAGACGCATTGATCGCAAGATGTTTTTCAAGTTACTTGTATCCGAACCGCTTGAACTGACTAATCGAAATGACCACGGACACTCGAAAGGATATTTCAAGTGAAGTAATTAAAGTTGACGCTTCGAGTTGCTTGAATTTAGACAACTTAATTAATTGAAACGCCAGCTATTACATTGTACAATATACATAAACTTTGTATGAAACTGATATTTTTGAATTGTGAAAACCTGTCGAATATGATCATATATAGCTAATTTGAGAGCCACAAATTATCGTGTAGCTCATTTAAAAATCACAAATTCAAGAAGTTCGATCAGAAGGAGACTTAACGAACAAGCAAGCTCGATTATAGATTATCGATGTCTTACCTGGATCATGTTCGCTCGAATAACCGCGATCAACTGTTTCCAGATCCGGCACGCCGATGACAGTACTTTTATACGTATACGTAGGACATACGTGGCGACACTGGTCCCACAACGTGAATCGACGTTTTATTTCGATGAGCCAGGCGGCCGCGACAGTCGCCTGGGGCAACGTCTTCATCGAATTGTTTTCTTTCTCGATATCGTGTCTCTCTCGATATCCTCGGCAACCTATTTACCTGTTTTCTTACGACTCTCCGACATCCGTGGGACAGG